ACTGGAGCCAGGGGACACCTGATCCACCACCACAAGCTCAGGCTGGTTTACAGAGGTGCCCTGGACCAATGCGATTCCCCACTAGGACTTTGACACTGCCCAGAAGTGCCATTTTTGGGAAAAGTGTACAAGCTGGAGTCCTGGGGGAGTCCAGACTATGCCAGTCAGAGGAAGCGTTTTGGCCAAGAGCAGAACGAGCAGATGTGGAAAGGGCTAGAGATATAAGTGGCTAGTTCTCCTGAACTGCCCCAGCCCTTCCCGGGGCATGGTTTTTGTTGTTGTTGCTGTTGTTTTTATTGCAGTAAAATACACATAACATACATTTCACCATCTTAGCCATTTTTAAATGTACTGTTTAGTGGTATTAAATACCTTCATAATGTTGTGCAACCATCAACACCATCCAACTCCAGAACTCTTTTATATTACAAAACTGAAACTCTGTGCCCATTAAAACAATAAATCCCCACTTCCCTCCCCCAGCTCCTGGCAACCACAATTCTATTTTCTGTGTCTATGATTTTACTACTCCAAGTACTTCATAAAAGTGAAATCATATGATTTGTCTTGTGACTGACTTAGTTCACTTAGCATAATATCCTCAATTTCATCCATGTTGTAGCACATGTCAGAATTTCCTTGGTTTTTAAGACTGGGTAATATTCCATTGTACGTATATACTGTACCACATTTTGTATATCCATTCACCTGTTGATAGACACTTGGGTGGCTCTCATGTTTTAGCCATTGTGAATGATGCTATGAACATGTGTGTACAAACACCTTTTCAAGACCCTGCTATCAGTTCTTTGGGGTATACACCCAGTAGTGGAATTGCTGGATCATATGGTAATTCTAGTTTTAATTTTTTGAGGAACTTCCAGACTGTTTTCCACAGTGGCTGCACTGTTTTACATTCCCACCCACACTGTGCAAGAGTTCCAACTTCTCCACATCCTTGCCAATGCTGTTTTCTGTTTTTCTTTTTTTTTTTTTTTATTTATTTATTTATTTATTTTTTTGTCTTTTTCCGTGTCCGGCAACGGATCGCA